AAACTTTATTGCCTCAATATTCCAAAATTATTCTTACAATATTTTGATTTTATTCTATTCTCTCATGAGTCTACCTCCTTACAAAGGTCTTCTCCTCATGGCCCTTATTACTCAGTCCTATTAATATGAGCACAGAGCCATGTTGCAGCTCTTATCCACATTACTGATGCATCCTTTCAGGCATTTTTCAGTGGACAACACTAGGCAGCATCTTCTAAGCTCTCCAGTCCTTGTATGCATCTCAACCCTCTTCCTCTCTCCATTCATTTTCCTCTGAGCAGCCCTCCTCTACCTTCCTATTGATCGTCTGTGCGGCTCCACCATGCTGGAGTGTCAATTAGAGAGCCCCACCTTCCCATCTGTGAGAGGAGAGGTACAGCCTCAAAAAGTTTCCCTGGCCAGCTTTGCCATCTACGGAGAGGGATTAGACCCAGGATGTTGAAAAATGTGCATGACGTGATCTATAATTGAAAAACAACGTGTATAAACAAGGTTCAATTATGTGTGTGTAATTCACATAATATCGACCCACAAGCAATGTCAGCATATGTAGAAGAATCCACACAAACATTTACCAATCTGTTAGTAAATCTATGAAGATATTTAGACATTTGTAAAGACAGGAAGATCTCTCTTCCCAAAATACTCATGTATTTACATTGCTTGCTAATAGTGTGGACTGGAACACATTTGTCTGTGTAAAATTGTTCCTTAGATGGTTGTACACATTATTAATTTAGATTTTTAATTTGTAGATACTGTCAAACACATTTTGTCTCCTCATTTCCCAGCAACCGAATCTCAGACAATGAACATGGGAATAACCAGCTGAAAATGAATGTACACATATATCAGATGTATTTCTAATGTTCTTTCTGCAGCACTGATTGGACTATAAAACGCTCGGGCATGCGCCATGAAATTTTCAATTTGAAGCAATAAAAAAATATGAGGGAGTCTAAAGGTGAAGTGGCTGGTCACATTCAGATGAAGTGTATTTTTAAGGACAGGCACATTGAGGGAAGCGAAAGGGAGGAATGTTTCTCATCGCCTGGGTACGATGTAAAGCAACTCCCACACTGTCATTTCGTGCAACTTCGGAATCATAGTTTTATTTATTTATTGCATTTCTTACTAAGTTGAATCCTCACAGACACTTTTGAATGTGCAGGAGGTGAACCCAGAAAGTCTTTAAATTGTTTAAAGATGTTATTATGCTCCAATCATTTTATTTTATTATTACTTGAAAAGGTTTTCATGATGTAATGTTGAGAAAACACATCACTGTCCTCATCCTGTCCTGCAGCTCCTGTTTTCAGCCTCCGTCTGAAACACTTGGCTTTAGCTCCTGACTCTTTGTCCTGGACCAAGCAATCAAGGCACAAAACATACATTTAGAGTTCAAAAAGTTGGGTTGTTTCCCCATTAAAAGTTTTAACAACACCATACCGAAGAAACAATTAACAGAGTCATAACGCCCTTAAAAGAGGTCAACAAAACATAACTCGAGTGAATATAAGGCAAACAAAACAAGGTGTCGCCTCAATTAACAGACCAGAGGGCAACATATGTACTAACTGACCAAACCAATAAACACATACAGGGGAAAACTACATAAACAGTAACTGAATCCAAATGCAAAAATACTCTAATCCCCCCCATGATGTCAGAGCTCTTGGTTTGGTCCGGTGCTTGGGCCTCTGAATAAAACCAGGCTCCGCCCACAGCTCACGTTTTTGAACCAGGAAGTAGAACACATGCAGGTAACTTAAAGAAAGAGAAATTGATTTATACACTTTAAACCAACTACTTAAAGGAAGAAAGAGTATTACTGTGTGAAATTAGTACTGTATGATCTTAAGTGACTGTGCACAGGGTTCTTCAAAAGTAAAAGAAGTTAAAAAGTACGGTTAAAAGGTAAAAACCTTTAAGCCTCAAAAAGTCTTTAAAAAATCCTATTAGGGCTTAATGACATTTATGTTGGTCTCCATTATGTTAACACACTTTGGACGCTCTTTCAAAATAGTTATTTAAAAATGTTTTAAATAGTTGGAAATGTTTTGGAAGCATGTATAGTTTGTAATGCCTCTGCGTGTTGGGGTTCTTTCTTAATGCTACAGATATTAGAACACGTAACAAAATAATAAACATGTCCAACAGGGAACAGATAACGATAATAAACGTATACTAACACCCTGTTATTGCAGAATACTCAGTTGAACTGTGGGAAAGACTGTGGACACTGTCTCTGCCTCTATTTGGAAGATGATCTGGAAATTCAAGGTTTTTCTATATATGTGCTACTTTATCTTATCTTCTCTTATGGGGAGGGCTAAGTCATTCTGAGACTGCAGTATTCCTTCATATCTGTTGAAATTGACAGGCATTGGAAATTTCTTCCATTATTTCCCTAAACATCTTTTTAAAAGTCCTTTAAAAATACATGATTATAAAAATCTGATGTTGTCAGAATTAAGACGTTGCTGTTGAATCAGCCGCTGCTGCTTCTTGTGAGGCCACGTATCAACAGACCTATTTGCCCGAAGGTTATTATACAGCCTTTTTGAAATGAATGCATGAGTCTATATCCTGAAATACGCTCCCGCACCTGAGGAAAGGTTGTTCTCTGCTGACAGAATCTCCAGTAATTCCTGCAGCTGTCTTTGACATTTTGTCGTTGAAAAGCATTTTTCCTCACGACTCTGTCGTACATGTTTATTGAGGTGATCCATTTGTCTTCTCATCTGGAGACTGGTTCTCTTTCTGAGCACAGTGATTCAGAAATGTACTAGAACTGAGTCCTTGAGCTTTAAAAAGAATAAATTAGGTTACACAGAGTGTATTACAGCAGGGCTCTGGAACCAAGCTATACACTGAATGCATCGATAATTGAGTATGCTAATACTGCACTTTTCGATTCGGTTACTACATCACCACGTGTCATGTTGAATAAAACTCGGAGGGGTGGTCTGGCCCAACCCATGCTTGATTAAAATGGGATTCATAGATTTCCACAGAGTGATGAAATGAAGTGATTAATTCAAAGGATATAAGCAGCCCACCCTGAACGAGATGTTTCAGATTATGAACTATCTACATCCTGGTCAGAGAGGAAACACTGTGAGATATTCATCTGGAACGAGACAAAACGCAGCGAATAACAGGATAATGCTTCATGTAATCTTGTGATGTGGAAGATCTTTTTCTTTCAAATGCACGTGTGACACTCTGTCAGCTGGTTTTTTAGAGGAGACATGCACCAGCTCTTCTCTGTGCGAACATGAAGTCTGATGATGTGTGTCTCGAAAACAACAGCCTTGTAGAACATTTTCTTTTCACGGTGTTTGCTCTATAGTCAGACATGCTGGGGCATGGTGCTTGTTTGGTTGCAGGGGCTCAGGTGAGCTGGCAGACTTTCCAGTTGTCGTCTGCTCTGCAGCAGTTTAAGTGAACCTGCAGTGAATCAACTCTGAAAAATTACTTCTCACTCAGTAGGAGATAGTTGGGTGTATTCAAAGGACCTTGTCACTTCCAATATGCTCTCAATGAATCTCAGCTGTTGCAGTTTCAAGGCTTCAACCCACTCTGCTGGAAAACCAATGTCTACAGCCCTGCTCTGTGACTGTGTGCAACTAGATTGTTCCTTCAGAGCCTATTACCGCTTCAGGAACGAACAGGGTGTAGATATGTACATGCAAGATAGCTTGTATCATTGCATATTTTGTGTGTCTATCCAGCAGGCATGTGTAGTGCATGTGTGGAAAAAAAACCGAGAAAGGTGGGCGTGATACTGTCGGAGTGTGTAGATGCATGACAGTATGGAGATAGGAATCTCAACATCCAGCTTTAAATCTGTATTATTCACCTGGTGAGCTTGTTTATGACACTTGAATCTGTACAGAATCTGCATTTAATGACCCCCGCTGCTGCAAAACAACAGACAGAACCACATCCGAACAGATTCAGCTTGGTGCAGCTTCTATCATAGAGAGAAAGGTTTTAACTTCAGGTTATCGATGCTGTTTCAGCACAACAGGCAGCAGTGATCTTATATTAACCTGAGTAAGACAATAGTGTGAATAAGACACTGCCATTTTCTAATTATCTCAACCTGAATAAAGTCTTACTCATAATCATGGACTCTGAAGACGTTTATAAAGATTGACAGCAGGCCCCCAAAATTGAGCCAAATCAATCGCCACCTGGTGGCTGGCAGCAGTACAGGTCTCACTTTCCTCCATGTTATTGGATGGGCCATAGACCAAACTTAAAGTCAAAGAACATGACATTTCTTCTCAAAGATGGTTTCTGACATTTTAAATGGAGTGCTTCACAGTACAGTTATTGTCATTCTGAACTGCCTAAGACTGGGATCAAACCGCCTCTGGGTAGAAGATGACCGCTACTCTGCAGACTCTTGCAAACATCATAATCTAAAAAAGGTTTTATTTAGAATAAGGTCGATATTCTGAATATTTCTGTCTTTATAAAAGTATATGATCTGGATAATATTCAGGTGATTTTATCCTCTGCTGTGTCAAAGGCTGCTGCTACAATCAAGTTCCACCTTAATGCAGTGATTTGTTAAGGTGGATTTTTTTCCCTTTGTTCTTACTTCTTTGTTGTACGTTTTACTCTGAGACATTAAAATATATGTAATGGATTTTTCATCAAATTATTGTGATGGAGGTTGAGTTCACCCGCTGACGTGTTGATAGGTGAGAATGAAGCACATGGGATGTGACTCTCTCAGACATGTCAACCTTGAGAGGCCATGGTAACCTTTTGAATTCAAAGCTGTAGATGTAAGAAGACTGTATATGGGAGAGAAATGAGTTTGGAGGCAGAACAGTTGCTTCTTTCCACATAATGCTGAAGTAAAAAGGTTAAAGAAAAGAAAAAAAGAGGATATAAATGCTCATACCAATATAAATCCATTTGCCTTTTTTTCTGTTACCTCTCTCCACTGTCTCACCACTCTTCTCCTTTTCATCTTCCAGGAATTTGCTGTGAAGCCCGTGGACCTAAGCAGGCCTGAGGGCTCTGACATATACCAAATCCCTGCCCACGGGAACGGGGGAGATTAAAAACTTCTGATTGAGGTGGAGAGGAAAGAGAAGCGGGAGAGGGGGAGATAGGGACACAGAGAAAACGTGTATCGCTCACCTTTGTTCTTCCTGATGCCCCAAGTGAAGGATCTCCACAGGAAGTGTGTGTGAATAACAGCAGCAGCTGCCCACCGCCGTGGTCAGAGGATGGAGTGAGGGTTTGAAAGAGGAGAAGAGAACTGGATTACATGCAGTGAAAGAGTCAAGTCCGTATTCTCTGTTAATTGAATGCCTGCAAGAGAGGAGAGACATGAGAGGAAGCCTTTCTGCGCCAACTGCTTCCAGAGGTATTGCAATTAACCCTCTGGCCATCATAAAGTAATACCTGGCTTCTGCTCTTTTCTGATTGCTGGGCTCGGTCACACGGGGTGGACGTGCGCTCAGGCCGTGATCATGTCTCAACCCTCAGCGTGTCGACCGGATCGGACCGGCTGTCAGAGAAATGGCCTGTTTCTGTCGCTGCTGCTGCTGCTTCTCCTCAGCTCTCTGAAGGCCGCCCAGGCTGCCAAGCCCAAAGGGCCGGGACACACACATTTGAACTCCATCCGCATAGATGGAGACATCTCCCTGGGTGGGCTTTTCCCGGTGCACGCCCGAGGGCACGACGGAAAGCCGTGCGGGGAGCTGAAGAAGGAGAAGGGCATACACAGGCTGGAGGCCATGCTCTTCGCCCTTGACCGCATCAATAATGACAATAATCTGCTGCCCAACATCACACTGGGAGCTCGTATTCTGGACACCTGCTCCCGGGACACTCACGCCTTGGAGCAGTCTCTCACCTTCGTGCAGGCTCTAATCGAGAAGGACGGCACCGACGTCAAGTGTCTGGGTGGCGGAGCGCCCATCATCACCAAACCTGAGAGGGTGGTGGGCGTCATTGGAGCGTCCTCCAGCTCTGTCTCCATCATGGTGGCCAACATACTTCGCCTGTTTAAGGTAAGACGCAGGCACAGATTGTCCACTTCCTCCAGGAACATATTCACAACATGCACAGAACAAACAGCAGGAGCTGTGTTTGCTCTTGGACACTGAAAGCTATGAATATTTTGCTTTATCGATTCCTCATATATATTTGTTTGAATAATTAATTGCGCTGGCTGATACGTCATGAGCCGTGGAGCAGAACAATATGTGTTAGATATCTGCTGCCACACAATGGGCACTTTCATAACTTTAGATAGGAGATCCCTTGGTAAATCTCAGCACTCTGACTGTTGCCCTGGAGGTGTTGGTTGCTAAGCAGTGAGAGGTATTGCCTGTCACAGACGTGATTAATAGGATACTACTTGATTTCATTTTCACCCTATAGCCTTCTTCAAATTGGCTTGCTGTTTACATCTGCTCATACGCTACGGAAAAAAAATGCATATTGCACATTTAATGAATTATTTAACACATTTTATTTTCTGTCCAGCTATAGCCACGGTGAGCCATTTCTACATTACTGAAGGTTTGATTGCTATTTACGGCTCGGCTCACAGCAAAATAACACACCTTTCTCTCCTTTAGAGGGAATTACGTTTCACAGAGTACCGTCGTGTGTTTGAAATAGTTTCACGGACAGTTAAACATTTTAGCATAGATATAACTCAAATTACTTTCAGTGGGACCGGCGAGTTAGTGGCTTATTGAAATTCTGTGTAATTAGAGCGAGGGATTCTTCCTCAGATAATGCTAAGACTTCAAAACAGACTTCAAAAACGCATTTCAGATCCTCTGTGTTGAAACACTGATAATAATCCTGAGAGATCTCCTTCACCTTGATATTGCATTAAAATTCAAGTCTAATTTAAACAATATTCCCTCCTCTTGCTTATAAACACCTTGAGGTGCGGCTGATTCACTGTCTGTCCTCTGCAGCTCTGTGGTTCCCTTCATCAGATCAGGTTTTAACTTCACATACTGACTGGATTTTGATGGGGCTGCTCCACATATGTTGATGATTCGATTCCTCAGTGGAGGAGCTGCACGTCTGAACCTCGTCTTTTCAAAGCATCTGCCTTATTGTTTTATTTTTATGGTGTCATTGTACCCAGAGTGAAACGGATCAGAGTGCAGCATGTAACCTTAAAAAATCTGTTAATGGGTTAACACGGGTTTGACATGAGCCGAGAAAGAACCCATTACATTTCCGCGTGGATCCAGGATTTATATTTCGTTAACATTCTGCGATTGTGCATTTTTTTGGTGACATTTTTCTCCGTGGATAATTTATGGATCTTGATGATTTATTGATTTTATGGATCTAGTGAATTTGAATGTGGTTTCATGACGGGACTGCTGGCCCTAGGCAGAGGTACTCACTCTACTTATATTCTAGTTGATTCATTTATCAATAAAAAGAAAAGATTGTTACTTTAAAAAGCATTTTTCTCAAGCACACATATCCTAATTTCATCTTCTCTCATGTCCTGAATGAATTTTTGATATTGTTCGGTTTTGTCCAAAGACAAGAACATACAATTTTAAGACAGAGACATTGAGATAGACACTATTTTATAGATCAATAAATAAATAAATAAAAATGCTTGCCTGATTGAATATTAATGAAAGTAGGTGGTAGTTACAGTCACAGGTGGTGGAAATTGTAATTATGTTTTTGCTTCTGCTCGTCCTCTCTAGTGTTAGACTGCTTTCTCTCCCGCTCTCTAGTGTGATCAACACCTTCATGCCAGAGCTCTGCAGGGGTGGCGCTCTGCAGTGTGATCGGATGTTATTACTGAGCCAGGATCAGGAAGCACTTTTTATTTCATCGCGTAAATCTGGTGTTTGTGCTTCACAGATGATGACAAGGTATGAGTGAAGCCAATGAAATGTGAGTCTGGAGGTCAAGCACGAGACTTCATGTGGACTTTAGTGTGGGGTGACGGGTCTGTAGGTCTGCTGCATGAATACCATGGCAATATTCATACTTTTAGGCAATGGCCTGTATAGTGTCTGACCAGTATGGACAGTTGTGGAAAAAAACCTGATACTTATCAGCCAATATATATATTTATTCATGTATTTGCAATGTCTCCTAAGATGTTGTTATCAAACCTTAGGACAAGGACATATACTTTTGTTTAATATTTTACAAATACTTGTACTTTAAACACGAGATCACAACGTTTCTGTTTTTATTTTGTAAAATAAAAGTTTTCATCATGAAGCATAACCATCAATACTGATTTCTCTGCGAGAGGCTGATATTTGCTGATTTTTATTGGCTAACAGAAAAATCAGTATTAACTGTTGATTAGGTAACAAAAGTCTCAGTAAATCATCGTAAATTTGTCAGTTAATTTGAAAATCATTGATTTGGCCTTTGACTGATTTTATTTAAATGTTTAATGCTTTCTTTGTGTATTAGTTAATATGATACCCCACAGACTCCACAGCAAAAGCCTTTTCTATAGTTCACACAGTACGAGTTGATAATCTCCCAGATTCCACTGTTTTACAAACCATATCAGAGTTGTGCTGCATTAAACATTAAACTGGGATGATGCCTAGGTTTGGTGCATCATTTTACTGTTCTAACAGTTGAGTCTTATGTATGCATCTATTCATGGGTGTGAATACTCGTTGACAAATACATAGTCGAGCGTGAAAAGCACTGTGCATGATCTCGACATTTCTCCCACACATTATATATGCGAATATGTGCGCTCACACAGGTGAGAGTCTGTGTGGGACACAGTAATGAGCAGCTCCAGCAGTGTGCTCTTGATCCCACTTTGCATGGAAGCCTCAAATCTTTGGTCATTAGCACAGCGCTCACCCTCTCTTCATTAAAGCACGTAAGCGGTGTCCTTGCATATTTAATTTGGACTCTTCTGATCTCCTTTATCTTCATACTCAATGTGTACAGTGTGTAAGCGTTCCCCTCTCCTGCCTCCTCGTATTCAGACAGCTGGAGGTTTAGAAGGCTGCTCAAGTCAGACGGCAGGTTGAGAAGATCAACACAGCGAGATCTCACCAGTTCATCTTCAGTTACTATCACTATCGGGCCTGCGAGTCGCACGATTGAAAATGAAACACTTTCCAAGGCGGTCGCCAATCAATCAACATCCACTTTAATTGAATAACAGTCAGTACAACAATCAAAAAAGAGAGTAAGCTCCTGACATGATGTAAAGCAGTCTGGTCAGTTATATAGATTAAACTGTAAACCTTTAATGTAGAGTGGTGTGTGGTCATCTAGGTGGGCTCCTGAGTTATAGCTTCCCAGGGATCCACCACTCAGCCAGCTGCTCCTCCTGGTCCTGATGGACCCGCTGATGACCCCTGAAGGTTTTAACTTTACGGCGCCTCGACACACGCCCTGCAACCTGCGACACATTTACATGCACGATCTAGCATCGGGTGAAAAGAGGAACCAGCAGGTCTCCTCATGCTGCAGCTCGACATAACTGTTTACTTTAAATTGAGGCAATGCATGCACACACGAATTCCAGCTCAGCATACTGATGAAGACAGGCAGACTGTTAGGCATTTAGACATGTGCACTGCCGTATGCTGGTTCACCCACACACAAACACACAAGCAGGCGGACACACACACCACTTGCACGACTGCACCTCTCAAACGCAACAACATGTATATAAACACTTGATACAAGCGTACACAAAAGCAATCAAGCACATTTACACACAAACCACTTTAAAGCCAGCAGCGACGGCAGCAGAGCCCGCCCTGGTGTAGCTATCAGGTTTACAGAAAAGTGTTTCCTCAGCACTCAGCTGCATACAGATGTGGTCCAGAGCAGCTTGATGAATATTTTACTTCAACCTTATGTAACTGTAGCACACGGACCAGGAGCTGCAGCTCGAGAACATTTCATTGGAACAATGTGTCAGATGACAACATTCAGATCCCAGAGTTGACAGACACCGACTACACAGGTCTGCCCCTCTCCATTACCTGTTCATCTCTGCTGGAGCTCCAGACTGGCTAACAAGATGGACGACGCAGCTCCACTTCCTCTTGCTCTCCAGAAGCTAAAAGAATAATAAGAATTCTGCCGTCTCGGGCCGATGACACAATTCAGAGCCAGAGTCTGCACAGTGGCAATCAAAGGATGGAACTACAGGAACAAAGTCCTGCTGATGACTACCTAAAAAGACAGACCAACTTCTGTGAAAAATGTATTGGATATATAATTTATTGTTTTGCCCATGTCCCATCCAGTAACATGGAAAAGGCGCGGCTCTTGACCTATACTGCTGCCAGCCACTAGGAGGCAATCAAGAGGTTGACTTATGGGGTGCAGTCACGTTGTCCATCTTTATGTCCGTCTATGGTTGAAATCGTAGAAGACTTCAATAAAGAGTCTGTATTCTATTATTAGACATGCTGAGAGTATATATCATTTTACCTTCATATACTTCTAAAGCTGCAAAAAAGCTTTATTAGCTACAGTGCATTTAAGACATTTCGACCTATTCTAAAATCATCTTGCTGCATTTGTTTGAGGACAATCTTTTAGAGAAGCTTGTGTTATCTATTAATGATATATTGACCGACCGATTTATTTACTGAGCAACTCGCATCACTGTGAGTGTATAAATGAACATGAACATTCATTAGTGTGATTATACAATTGACTAAACTTCGTCTTTGAGAAAAATCTATTTAACATGTACTTTATAGTCTGGTTCATGTCCTGTCGTTAACATGGAGGAGGGTCCTATACTGCAGTCAAACACTAGCTCTGTTTTGGCTTCACTTTTTCTTCCATCTTTGTAAAAAGTCTATAATCCTAATTGGGAGTTCCTTCTCACCTCGGCTTTAACAAAAGTTTGGCTCTAGTTCAGCGAAAGAAGAAAAAGTGTTTTTAGCAAATTTCATTAGTTTCACTCTGTGGTGCACATGAGTAGCACAATGGAGAGGCAGTGACCCGCAATAAGAGGCTCAGAGCGCTCTGGCCTTTAATGCTCACTGGAAAGCATTTT